CTAAAGAGCAAAAATTGAGCTGGATATTATATAAATTTGCACTAATTGTTTGAACTGGAAAAAAAGGATATTAGACACCATAATAATAAAATCTCAGCAATTAAAATATAAGTTAAATGTTTTGAATAAATATTTTCAATCAAATAAATTAAAGATTACAGGTTGATGATTGTAAAAAGTTAAAAATAGTTCTAAAGTTTTGTTATCTAAAACATCTATAAGATCCACCATTCAACATGCTTGGTAGCAAACAATGTAGCAAAGATTTACATCAATCATAAATGTAAAATCTTTGCTATATTGTTTGCTAACAAGGATGATGAACAACAGATCTTATAGGTTCTACTTTTGCCTTTTGACTTTTTTGAATATTTCTTGTTATCTCCAATCGAGGGTACAGCTTTAAACTAATTTTAACAGTTCTGAGGCTGACTGGTGATTTCCTGAATACTGTGCTAACTTTAACAGAGGTTGATCTTATCAACAACTTTAAAATTTTAGAGTATTTACAGTACCATGTTACAGGTAGATAGTGTTTTTGTAGTGATTATAGTGTGCATTGGTCGTAAAAGGACTGTTTTAGTACAACTTTGGGTTAACTAGCAATACAAGGCTACTGCAGAGCTTATTGCATGGGATGCCATGCACTCGAAAAATGACCATCTCACCTGATTGTTTAATATACCTTTTATAAATACTCTTAGCTTTCAAAGTAACTGTTATCTGTTGAATCTTATCTCAAAAATTTACCCACCTCACTTGCAAATTCACCCAACTTACTATTTGTGAAAATAACTTGAATTAGCTATTTAACCTTCTTATCTTAGTATTATTAACTTCTTTGATTCAAAAAGAATCAAATAATAACTATACTCACTTACCTACACTCCTTGATTTGTGTCTTATCTTAGACCTGAAATCATGCTCAGTTACTTCAACACAAATCTCTGTGTTTTTCACACACTTATTTATCATCAAGAGAAATATTTTTAAAACAAACATCTTTATATTGATGCAAGTAACCAAAATGCAAAAAGGTGATGTAATTGATCCGTTGTTCTCATTTTACCAAATCTTGTTATCACAGAACTAAGACTCTAGAAACTTTAAGATAATCTTAATCTAAGGTATTGCATTCCATTTCTAATACATTGTTCTGATCTTTTTACCTCACCCATCAGGGTTAGGGTTAGGGTTACCTCACCCACAAATAAGATAGGGTTTACCTCACCCACAAATAAGATAGAACTATTTGCAAAGATCTTTCTTTTAATTCATCACTTGAATCTAATGACCACATTCCTCCAACCATTCTACAGAAACAAGTTATTCTTTTTTTGGACATCTAAACTACTTTGGCTTCTATTGCTCAAGTCATTTCTTAATTAAACTGTTCTCAGCTTGTGGTCTGGACATCATTCCTATCAGAGTCCAACAAAAGTTATTCAAAACACTCTTTATTTCTAAACTATTTAATAAGTAATTAACTGAAACTTGTTTTCTTTCTCAAAAATAGTGTCTGTGATTCTCTCAGACAATAGATATGGATTTTGATCTACAGCTGAGTAGTTAACAGAACTGAAAGGTCTAATTGTAGTTTAGATAAAGCCAATGAAAATAAAAACTATTGCACTGAACCTATCAAAGGTGTTCTATAAAGTTTTGCTTGCTGGTCTTCTCCATAATTTTGCTTCATATGATGAATCTGGGAAAGTTTTTAAGATTAATAAATCATTGCATTTTAACCACATTATTAAATTTGTCTTTGAAAGCCAACACTCATCTACTTTTCAAGTAACTTTTAGTAACAGTAACAGGTACCTCAAGGTTCCACCATTGGCCCTGTATTATTTTTCACCTATATTATTGATATTTATGACAATCTGACTATAAACTCGAGTGTTAATAAAAAACTTTGATTGCTTAAAACAGGCAGATCTTGAATCTGATTTTTCTTCTATGAGAATTTGAAATCTGCAGCTTGTGAATTTTAACCTAAACAAAAATCAGTTACTTACTGCCACTAATTATTCTTGATATTCCTATATTGATGGATGACAACACCCTTACTGAGTCTTCTGCTTTACATCTTCTCAGATTATTGTTTACTACTGACTTCTCATGGAAACCTTATATATAATCTATTGCAAAATTGGTTATGCTGCTATGGTTATGTCTCTATGCCTGTGTATATATATATATATATATATATATATATATATATATATATATATATATATATATATATATACTTTATTTATTTAAACTCACCTCCCAAAGGCTATGAAGGCCACTGCAGTCAGAGAGGCTACTTTAGTTGTAGTTACAATTGTTTCTCAACTTTATAACTCCAACACACGAACTTTGACAAAAAAGGCTGCTGCATGGAGAAACAAGTTGAGCACGGTACTACCAGAGACCGCATATATGTATATACATACTATGTTACTCAATAACATTCAAAATCATTTAAGGCAAAATATTTATAGGCTTACAATAACATTAAAAACTGAAATAACATTAAAAAAAGCTAAAAAAAAAAGTAGTTTTAACCAAAAACAAAATGGTTCTCAAATTCTATTATGATAATGCTTTGAAAGAAATATTTAATATAATAAATATTTAAAAAAGAAAAACAAAGATTACATTAAAGTTAAGTTAATATTATAATTCAAATTAAATCAAAAATTTTACAAAACTGTCAAAACTTGAAAAAATCACATTTCTTAAATACAAGACATTTAGACAATAATACTTGATAATATTTTTAAAGTTCAAAATCATATAACACAAGCCAGACCATTAAGAAAACAAAGTGGAATTTTATTCAAACATTTACAAAAATCAGGTACATAAATAACCAAAAAGATAACTGCAGATGTTCTTGAATTTTATGAACGCAATGAATATTTAAAAGTTTGTCAAGGAAAGAAATTGTGTCAGATAAAGTAAATATAAAACAATATACCCAAAAAGAACTACTTTTAGTAGTTTAAGCAAATAGTAGATGGTTGCAGTGTTGTTAAGACTAAGTTAATATGATTAAAAAATATATAAATAAATAAAACTTATATATTTGTATATTTTAACACAACACTTATATATTCTACTCAGATTAATTTTTAAAACCAACAAAAAGAACTACTTTTAGTTAATCTTTAGAACTCCATATTAAGTTTTAATTATTTTATTAAAATATTGGCTGGTTAACTAAATTGGTAATTAATGGACCAATGCTGATTGTTTTAAGAATTTCAATTTTTTTTTTAATTTTGTATTTTTATTTTGTTTACAAACATAGAATATTGCCATAAACAACATAAATGCAATACATGTAAGCATAAGCTATTGAACAGGCGTTTGTGCAGCATCTAAATCTTTTAAAATATTTTATAAACAGATTTCTATTTAGGGGCTACCCACTTGTATAGTTTACTTTTACTTTTGTGTCGCCTAAACTTTGCAAAAAGAGAGATTTGAAATCTAAAAATTAATGTGAATTTAAAAAAAAAATGCTTTTGATTCACTTAAATCCTTGTTTCTACAGCTTATAAATATGTTCTAAAGCTTAGGTTAATGTTTTTTGTCTATAGTAACTGCAACGCTATTATTATTGATAACTGCAACACAACTGGTATCACAACCTTTACTGAAATGTTTTTATTTTTCTGGTTGAAGAAGTCCAACAACATAGATTTTCTTTTCTGTTATGATTTTTTTTTTTTTTTTTTTTCGTATCTCCTTTTAAACTAGAAGATTATTTTATTAATTTATATGTTAGTTTGACAATTTTCAATGAAATATTATAAAAATATTACTTATGATGACCAGTTTAGTCACATTTAAAGCCTTTATGGATAACTTGATGGAACCTGGGAGTAAACATGCGTAGAAGTGGGTCAAAAAACAGTGAGACGACAAAGTGGCAAATAATAGATATGAAGGATGGCTCAATGATCAGTAAGGGAGAAATAGCAAGAAAATTAAAAATTTCAGAGAATTGTGTCAGATATACGCAAAAGAAATTTAAAAAAACAGGTGGCATCCAATGCCATGCAAGATCAGGAAGGTTTAAAAAAAACTGATGGGAACACGGAAATAGTCTTTCATCAAGTAAGAGTCAAGCTGATGTTAAGTTCTCGTGAACCCACAGATGCATTCAACAAAAACCATGAAAAAGCATATTTCACTAAGGAAAAAAATTGGTTTCTATGCACCTAACATTTTACTGAGGAAAAAAATTGGTTTCTATGCAAATATTAGGCTCAAGATTTAGGTAGTGTAAGGAGAGAATTGATTGGTCTTTGGAAAAGTGGAAGCAAATAATTTTTAGTGATGAAAGTAATTTTGAAGTGATAAATAAAGAAAAATTAAAGTTCTTGTTAAAAGATATAAATCGAAAAAGTATAGTAATCACTTTGTTGTACCGAGGTTGCAAAGTGGCGGTGGCAGTGTTAATATTTAGAGTTGCTTTAATTTTAAGAGTAGGAGTGTATAACATATATACAGCTTGAATCAACCAACATACATATATAGAGACGCTAGAGAACTGCATGGTTCCATCAGTGGACTTGCTGATTGATTGAAAAAAATAATGGCAATTTCAAGAAGATTTGGCATCTGCCCATACAGTGAAAGCATGTGTAAAGGAAAATAAAGTAAATTTAATGCCAGATGTTGCATTTCGTGATAGCTTAATTCAACTCTTGCTGTTATATAAATATATTTTACAAATACATTGCAATTTATATTTTCGCTTTCTTCTTTAAAAAAAGTTAAATAAAGGAAAATCATTCTTTTTATTGTAGACTTAAAACTTTTTTTTTTTTACTTCGCCTTATCTAATCTTGTTGCTGAATGTAACAACCACTCTAAAGGAACAAAAATAAAAACAATACATAAAGTATTTAAATTATTAGTTTTTTTATTTTTATTTTTTTTATATATATTTTTTTTATATATATTTTTATTTCCTATTTTGTTAGTTTTGCTTTTTTTGT